TCGCCATCTGGGCAGTAGCATCCTGCATGGCCACGCGGTCAGGACGCAGGCGCAGGTAGGTGCGGCCGCGATCGATCTCCTGGTTGTGGGGGTCATCGAGGTGACCGTACACAATCTTCTCTGACAGGGTGAGGGGACGGTTGAGCCTGGAGGAAAAAATAAATAAATAAAAATATTCAGGAGATTGTAAGATCCAACAGAAGACGATTCAGTGAGGAAAATGTAATGAGTAGATGCGTGACAGAACTACAATCTCCCAAATCACGGATAACACATTAAAAAAAGGGACCTGGAGGGAGGATTGTGTAGTTGATGATACCAATGGCACTACAACTATGACGAGAAACTGTTAAAGGGAAAACAAACACTACAGTCCAAGCATTCAAACAGATAAGCCGAGTGTTGCAGGAAACATTGATGTGTGCCAGAGCAAATATAGAGCAGATCAGGGTAGTGCTGACCTTTTTCGCACAATGTCAATGTTGGACTGGAGCTTCTCGTAGCTGATGAAGGAAGTGGGCTCAAAGCGGCTCATGGACACTTTGGCCTTCGCTCTGTACGCTGTGGAGATGTGCAGGCGCCGTGCACCATGGCCCAGGGCCAGCTGGAGACATAAAAACAAACACAGTGTTAGCAGAACAACAAAGCAGAGAATGACCATTCCTCGACACAAATCTGGATTTACTTGAGTGTAAATATTTTTAGCACTTTGGTCGTCTTTTGAAAATCATTGTGAGGCACAGCTGGAAGAGCAGGATTAGTAACAGCTAAGCTCAAAACCATCCAGAATGGGAAGTTAACTTAGGAATGCTATTTTGCTCCCAGTTCTCAAGTGTCACATGTGAGAGTCACCGCCCCTCCCCAGAAGACTTGCCAAAAATACTTTGTCAACCTTTGGAAAGAGTGTCAAACGTCCCCTCAAAACATTAGAAGCTCTTTAATGTGAGTACAGTAATTCAATAAAACCATAAAATGTGTGTGAGAGACTTGATTTACAAGGAGCAGCAAAGAACCTGTGTTAAAAGTGCCTTTGAGCAGGGCGCTAAACCCATATACTCACTCCAGAGAAGACTAAGCCTCTCCACTTGTGTGGCTGTAATCTCAAACTTGATTGTTGAAAGATGAATATTAATAAAAGGGAAGTGAGAAGCTGGTAATCTTCTGTTACGCCTTACTGCTGAGAAGCAGCCATCAAAGTTATCAATTAATCAGTAAATGTATACTTTACAAATCTAATCGTAGGTTAAAGCTCCAAATCAAAGTCAGCGAGGGGCTCGGACTGCCTCTTTGCCACCAGTGAGTGTTTATTATTGCTTCTCTCTCGCTTTAAGCCGCATGTGACTTCTAATAAACGTCAGTGACAGTTCAACGCGGGTTCATATAATGGGAGTTTTGACACCTGTTGGTGTCTTAGGCCAACAAGAAAACCTGCGGTTACTGCATGTATTACACACATGACTCGGCTTTAAAGCTAGCTGAATAAATATGTTTGCTTTGGGCCTAGAATATGTTCTGTTATTTCATATCTACTTCCCTGTCTTGCAGGCTGCTTCTCTGTGTGTATGCGGGGAGCTCTAACCTTGCGGTTAACCTTGCTGTTAAAACCAAAACTTGTCAATTACAGCCGAGCCATCCACGGTCATTAGACAGCTCCGAACAGCCACTGTAACGCCCGGTAAACGGAGTCACTATAGTCGTGATTTATTAAGCCTGAGTCAAACTAGCTAGATGCGTTCAGAGCAGCCGGGACACGATGACCTGGACAACTAAGCAGTGCTAGTGTCTCAGCTTATCTCTCCACTTCAGCCTCTCGGTGCTTGAACTGGGTCAGCACAGCATTCAGTCAGATTTATTAAATCTCATAAAGAAGGTGGCATCCGCCTCGGCTGGACAAATGCGATGAAATTAGTCAATTTGTCTCTTACCTGGAGCCGAGCGACCGTGAGACAGTAAGTTGCCATTTTGTTCACTGACAAAGATGTGAGGGTCGGTGATGACGTAACACAATTGTAAGGCGGCCTTCTTCTTCTTCTTCTTCTTTGGAGTTTAACGTCCAGCTGTGACACGAAGCGTGCTGCCGCTTAGTGGAGAAAGAAAATTAAACAGTCATGCAGTAGAGGGCTAAGCTGTGCTGCTTTATAGAGAGAAGAGGCTTTTTCCTGGTAACGCTTACAAACAAGCCATCTTTGTTAAGTCTGCTTGTACTGTCATGAACTTTAACACTAGCTGAAGCTAGTCTGAGTGTCAAAATTCGTGTGTGCCAGGCAGGATGTGGACACAAATGCACGACTTGAGACAGAACATCAGCTCAAAGGACAGCTTTAACGCTCAACTTTCAGAAAGACAAAAATACAAGGAGTGGCTGATCAGAAGCAAAAAATAAAAAAAAAAATAGAAATCTCAAGGAACCGTGAAATAAGGAAACACACGACCATCCAGGGAGGGCATGACAAAGGACAAACGGGAGACTGACACAATAAAAACACATCAGGTAACGGGAAACACAAGTGCATCTAATGAGGAAAAGAAGACAGGGAAGGTAAAACAAAATACCAAATGCACTGGACAAAGGTTGCCAAAATGAAACAGGAAATAACTAAAATCGGGTAACATCACCGACAGAGGCTTGACAACACACAGGGAACAGCGGGGCCCGTGGTAAACTGAAGTAACAGTAACTGAAACAAAAGCACGAAGCAGGAAAAACACAACGACTAAGAAACAACTTGATGATAACGAAACAGAGAACATCCTTCTGAATTCACATGACTGCTTCAGTAAGGGTGAACTTTTTTTTCACCTGACTTCGTATTAGATCATGGACTCATAGCTGTGGTGGTTTTCATTCACATGTAAACCACTTCACTGTTGCAGCTGGAGATTATTTGAATAACTGAATTGAACTGGTCAAATTGCCCCCAATTTTCTATGTTATGGACTCGGGTGGTGCTGCCGATCTCAGCAGCTGGGCAAGAAGGTGGACGGCGGATGGCATAAGCTGGGTCGTGACTGGACTGAAATGTCGACTCAGGTAGAGGATGAGGATGATATGGGTATAGAGGACTGAACGGAGTTAGGAAAGGACGAGGACGAGGTAGTAAGTGGGGAGAGGATGAAAATTTGGTTGGAATGCCAAATTAGAAACGGGCGATAGCAGAAGTTCAGATGAAGGGAGTGCTGTAGTTTGGAAGAAGATAGTAAGAGAGGAATTCAAAATAATACTGAAGTTTAGGAAGGAGGATGAGAACATGCAGTTAAGTCCAAGTGCAGTATCGAGGGAACTGAAAAAGAAGATGTCCAAGGGGATGTCCAACAAGCAAGAATCCTAAGAGACAGGAACTTGTTAATAGCAGGTAAGAGGGAGGAGGGAAAAAATAATAATGCTATTAATCACTGCCATGACTTCATACAGGAATGTCCTTAGAGAGGAGCTGTCAAGTTGTTTGGCTCATTGTTCAAGGGCTGATGTGAGTACACTTTGCGAATGATAATTTGTCTTTCCCAGACACAACTCATATGACTAGGTGCTGGGGTGTTGATGAGAAACTCGCTGTCCAGTTTTCAAAGTTCTGCTTGATGTCTTTCTTTAAATTCTTCAGTAAATCATTGCTCGTGCTGACATAGTTTGTGCCTCGATTGCATCTTATCTGGAGAACTGTACCTCTGATGGCTATGAATGCACGTAAGGAGTTGATGAAGGAATCTGGAGAGAAATCGTCAAGCATCTCAAGATGTGCTGCTCTGGAGCACATGCAGGTGATTAGCAAGCCATAACGCTTTAAGGCAGTGTTGGAAAATAATGGTTGCCACACGAAATATTGCTATTTTGGGGACAGTTTGGACATTTTCACCTAGGTGTGTACTCACTTTTGTTGCCAGCGGTCTAGATGTTGAGTATGTTGTATGTTGAGTTATTTTGAGGCGACAGCAAATTTACACTGTTATTAGAGCTGTACACTGACTACTTTACATGGCATCAATGTGTCATATCTTAAATTTTTTCGATCGTGGCTCAAGAGTTGGCAGTTCGTCTTGTAATCGGAAGGTTGCTGGTTTGAGCCCTGGCTTGGACAGTCTCGGTTGTTGTGTCCTACTTCACCTGCTGCCTACTGGTGGTGGTCAGAGGGTCCGGTGATGCCAGTGTGTGGCAGCCTCGCCTCTGTCAGTGCGCCCCAGGGCACCTGTTGCTACAATGTAGCTTGCCATCACCAGTGTGTGGATGTGTGTGTGTGAATGGGTGGATGACTGAATGTAGTGTAAAGCGCTTTGGGGTCCTTAGGGACCAAGTAAAGTACTATACAAATACAGGCCATTTACCATTTAACATATTTTCCCATGAAAAGATCACCCCACAATGGAAACAATTAAACCTTGTTGGCAGAAGGAGGTGAAGGCGTCAAAGAGTCAAATTAATATTAGGCTGCTAAAGGAGATCAAGTTTAACTGTCAGTATTAGCAAAGCTGAAATGAAGAGTACGATAAAAGAGACAATGTGGGAAATAGGGCAAAAAGCTGTGGGAGGAGGAGAGGACAGGGAGATGGTTTTATTCCATTCAAAGGAAAACAAGAAACATGAGAAGCACAGGGAGGACCAGGAGAGAGGAGACAATAATATCTTGATTCAGATTTGGCCACACTGGATTAAACAGTACACTGTTCATTATAGGGCAACGTCAAACAGGGAAATGTAATCGCAGTGGAATAAATTAAACCAAAATCAAAATTATCAGGAAGAAAGAACACAACTGATTCAAAATCTGGTGGGGATTAAGCTAGATATAAAGGATTTATTGCAAAGGAATTCTAGATATGAACGTTTTATGGCTTTGTTTCAGTTTCTAAAAGAAACTCATTTGTGTGAAAGGATATGAGGATATATATATCCTGTAGTATTTATTTATTTTATTTATTTTCCGATTATTTGATATGAGCGAATTCCGGCCCACACTCCAAGCCAGTTGGTGGCGGTAATGCACCACATCGTTGTTTGCCAACTGCCAAAAAACGACAAAGAAGAAGAAGAACCAGCTCCAGCAGCAGAAGAAGAAGAAAAAGAAAGAGAAGCGTTTTACCTACGTAAATCGAAGATGGCTAAACATCATCCAGATTTGATCTTCTGTCGAAAACAAGCTGGTGTTGGTAAGTTTGGACTCATTTTACGTTTCAGTATTCGGCACAGTGGATTTTGCTGCAGTCTGGAAGTCCCTTGTTGTTGTTTTGTAGGTCATAGCGTTAGCATCCATGCTAACATGGCGTGGATTTCATTGAAAATGTGTTAGCCTGGAAGTGTCTGCAGGTCTGTGGGCTCTGGTGGCTAGAAGGGTATCGTAACTAGAAGAAAGTGGGGTTTGTTTTTT